AATCCTTAAACAATGAGATAAACAAATAAACAATTAAATGAACAATTTCGTAAACAAAATGGTAAACAAATAAACAATGAAGTAAACAAATCCGTAAACAATTCGATAAACAAATAAACAATTAAGTAAACAAATTCGTAAACAATAAGGTAAACAAATAAACAATCAAGTAAACAACTAAATAAACAAATTATAGAAAATATCAAACCTGATTTCAAATTCTTCTTGTACTCTGCAGTCTTCACTGCATCCAAATCACCGCACTCCTTCGATGACTGTTGTTCACAAGAGCACGACAGTACCACCACAATTGTACACAATGCACACGCACAACACGCACACAGCAAATACAAATTGAACCGTCGAATCTTCATTTTATATATTATTCGAACATGTCTCAATTATTAATAATCTTCATTATTCCATTGGAATAAATCCACTGACCAAATGCATACTGAAATCTTCAAAAATTTACATCTCCATAACGAAACAAGCTCATCGTCAGTAAAAATTGCTTACACAATCAAATAAATTTTGAAATTTCTCAAAAAAAATGGAAAGAGCTTTTCTATAAGACTTTATGAAATCACTACAATTATCTATCAGTTATCGTTTAATCCAAATCTGCCTGAGATACACCTCATCTTCAATCAATCAAACAAACACATATAGCCTTTGAATGAGAAAAATACGTTCAGATAGGGAATCAGAACCCATCATAAAAAGAAACTTCAAGAAATCAACTCTCTACGATATCATCCCATTCAATATGAATACTTTATTTCATCACCTTATCTCTCTGTTTGGTTACAATACTGATACGAACGATATGAACATTATTTGAATCATGATAACAACGATAACAATGATACAATAATAAAATCAAAACGACTGAAACTGCAAATCGGTCCGGTCCACTCATTTTCCGGATTTACTCTGTTGTGCCATGGCTAATTTCTTCAAAATTGCATCCCCTCGCCTTTCCTCTTTTGATTTGCCAACATTAACTGATGCTGAAATGATAACAACATTTATTCATCACTACAGCACTGCTTTACTCACTAAACTTTAATATTTTCCTCCTTTTCATATTGCTTTTAATTCAACTTCAGATTCAACACACTAAATTATTGCATTTAATCGCCAACTTACCTTTAATCGCCTCTTCAGGTAGTCTCGTCTTCGTTGGTTGCTGTTTACTTCCACTGCTAGCATCCGCTCCACCTTCGCCCAATGACAACAATACGAAATCTTTTTCACTAGAAAAGTTGAATCAAATTCAAAATCCAATATCAAATCATAAATTCACAACACACAAAA